TCTTATTTCACCTGGAGGAGTGTCTCACTTGGGTCCTCGGAAATGTTTCTAACTAATTCTAGCGTAGGAACTGAAAAAGGCATTTTATTTCCATAAAATACAGTAAATTTAACAAACTTTAACTACAAAATGTGCACAATTATAGTAAATTGTCTTATTACATCCAGTTAAAGCCCCAACCATCTGAACCAAGATCGTAGAACCAATACTTGATACAACAAATTTTCCTTGATCGCCACCAATATTCAGTTATTATTTTTCGATATTCCAAAGTATGGTTTAACTTTTTAATTTTATGGAATCATGCCATTGTCATACCACTTCCAGAAAGTTACACGATGTTGCTTTAAATACATCTCAATGCTCGAGCACATACACTTTCCCATACAACTTTCAGAAGAAGTAGATGACTCTGTTTTGACAAATGTATATAAGTGTACATGAATCATGATAAAAAAGAAATATGACCTAAAATTGTGATACATTTTTGGCATATAGCCCAAAATGTTTTGGTTGAGAGGCCAACACTTATCACAGTGTCACTTTACTCTTAGAAACCATTGGAATAGGGCCTCAGGTTGATCGCAACTTTAGTCTCCATGGGTAGATTTTCTAACAGATGCTGTAACCATATGATCTTTTACCCCGCATTTCACACAAGCCAGACACTTTACCGAAGTTACTTAGTATAATTGCAATAACATCCTCTATTATTTGTTATTCCCTGTTTAGGAGAAAGGTAAATTAAGCTTGACACTCGTAAACTGTGCAGACTCCCTCTAATAACCCAATAGCATGTGTAGGCTTCATTATCTTCTATTGTTCAGCAGTCTAATGATTTGTTTGCCAGTTGTCTTTTGGCAGTGTATTTGTGTGTTGCCTTTGTTTATTGTGTAGAATTTGCTGTGAACAGGAAAAAGTGAGTTTCTCTGCTCTGGTTTTGACAGAAGGTTGATGAGTGTGAGCTGGACTGGAGTGGAAAGGGAGGACAAGAGGAGGATGGGGCTGAGTACACTGATACAACAGGTTTTTACTGTCAGATTTTTCCCCACTAAATTTGGTAGTGCTTGCAACAGATGATTGTTTTGCAAATTCATGAACTTGTTGATTGCAAACTAGCCCTTTTTCGTGTCAGTCGATAACAATTTCCGTATATTTTGTCTTTCTGTAAACACATAAATATGGCTTTCGGTGTTAATTTCCGGAACATAAACAATACAGACTTTTAATTATAGCCATTTGCCACAAAAAAACAAAAATCTCTGCTCCAAACCACATGTTTTTACCGACAGGAGATTGGCTATGACATAAAAATGAAAGAAATGATTCAGATTTGATGAATTGTATGGCTCAGTTGCAAACAGGACTTGGATGAGATTTTTTTTTTTACAAAATTTTAACCATCTTTTTAAAACTTGCTTGATCCCTGATGTTATTATAAACAGATACAGAAGGGTGTTTTAATGAAATGTGATTGTCAACAGTATTGAAAATCACATGCTAATCGATACTAACATTATTATCAAAACTGGATAATCATTTGAGCAAGTATTGAAACTATAAAAGTCACATTCAGAACAAAATTAAATTCTTGAATAACTTTAGAATGATCTTGAGCTGTATCAGAACAAGTATAAGAGTATTTAGACAAGTATACGCCCATGAACCACTGTGGAACATAACTGAACCACTGAGGTCAGGGATTACACAGACACAAGACCACATGATAAAGAGAAAGTACTATGATTTATTGTTGAAAATGACATTCAGTTGTCTAAATAAGACTCTTTTTTAAATTGTCATCATGGTATCGGAATCACTGATCATTGAGTATTGAGTCTAACCCTTAGTATTAGGAGTGTAAGAAAAAATTGATTCACTGATATATCGTGATACTTCATTCTCAAATTGATTCAAAATGGATCCGAATAGATTTTTTAAAATAATATTTTTCACGAAAATTACATTCACCGTTCTCAAGATTTAAAAAAAAAAAAAATTTCATACAATTGTGGTCTCCTGAACGTGTATTTGACTGTATTTTTAGAAGTAATTATTGATAAATCACAATATATCATCAAATTTTTTTGTATCGGGATATATCGTGATATATTGAATCGTGACATGAGGATCATGATATGTATCGTATCGTCAGACTCAAGGCAACGCACACCCCTACTTAGTATCAAAATCAAGTTTGAAATTTTGATATTGTGAAAACACTAGTATAGTAGCTGTAGTGACTAGTATTGCTCATGTTAAACAATAAAACCTCTCCTGTCAGATCCTAGAGTTTATGGAGAGTCAGATAACAACTATTGATTGATTGATTAGTTCTTCAGAAATCAGTAAAAAACAGAACCTTTGCCCTACTGTAGTGATGAAATGTTCAAAACAAAACACTATATTTTTAAAAGGGAAAAAAGTCCTCTAAAATGTTGCGTAACATTGCTCCAGGATCTCAGTAAACTTTATTAGTCTGTCTACATTTCCAAAGCTGAGATTGCTCTGTTCGACCTTGTGTGTCACGAAGCTGTAGTTTTCAAATTAACAGCTCCTCTTTTTCAGTAGAGATTGGCAATTCCAGGACTGAAATCATCCAAAATATTCTAGTGAAGGCATATCCATTCAGCCTAAAGATGCAGGATTTGCGTATTAAACAAGTGTGAATGAAACAAAACACAACTCCGGGTCAGTTTTTGATGTGGAAACAACATTATAGATCAGACGATAGTGTAATATATGCTCTTCAATCCTTTTTATGCATTAAGAGGCTGTTTTTGGTGGGCGAGATATGGAACCCAGATGCTGCGCAGGTTTTTAGCATTAGCCTATGTGCTTTCATCAGCCGCTGCCATGTTTTATATGTATGTTCCCGGGACGTGCTGTAACATCCCACAGTGACTTCACATCTCCAGGTCCAGACATGTGCAGACCGAGCATCCCCAAAAGACTAATATGGTAACAATAAAGAGGCAGCTTGTGTTTTTCCCACTAAACTGACGTATGAGATTTGCCATGCACCTTCCCTGGCTTTAGTAAGATTCCGTGAAAACAATACCTGATTTATTTTTTACGTAAGGTCCTAGTGTCTGATGTATTATTAAAGTAATGGCACAATTTTGTTTATAGCACAATTTAGCTTTTAGTTAGTCTTTACACTGCGTTGCTTGTTCAGAACATTGTCTTTTTTGTCTAAAGAGTTAGACCAATCCAGCTTTCTCAGTATCAATCAGCTATAGTGTTGTCATGATACTAAAATTAAAGATTCTAAGAAATAGACTTGATACTTCTGATACCATGATGATAATAAAAAACACCCTTTAGACAAATCGTTGTACTTTTATTTTACCATGTGTGTAATCCTTCATTCGTCCAGGTAGGTTCCATAGTGGTATGCTACTCTCTGAGGTCCTAAATTTGTACTCAAGATCAAGATTCTTCTAAAGCTGCTCAGGAAAGGTTCACTCCGTCCTGTGAATGTGACTTTTTTAGTATTGATCCTTGCTGATCTAGTATTTAGTTTCAATACTAGTTTAGTTTAGTATCTGATTTTCAATACTTTCAACAGCCCTAATCTGTTGACACTCAAAACCAACAATACCAGTGTGGAGATGTTTCAGAATTAACATTTTTGATTTAAGCTGGTTCAGTCATTTTAGAATTAATATTTTCTCCATCACTGCAACAGCTTTCTATGATCCAAAATGAGAAATGAGTGTTAAAAGCAGCCAGTAAATTAATAATTAAAAAAAAAAGATGCACTATGTAACTTTTCTGAGCGTCCACCATCTGTTTGTCTCCATGGAGATTACTGCTTTGCTCAAAATTTTCCTCAGAATGGCATTAAACTTCACAAGACACCACCAGTTCAAGCTATAGGGCATATCTGTGGAGAAGTAACTCCCTGGGGCATTTTTGAGCAGTAACTGTATTTGAATACATGGATGTTTTATGCCATACTCTGGAACATACAAGACTAAACAAAAATATCTCCATGGAAACAAGCAGGGGACTGATCCCACCCCAGAAAAGTTACACATTAGACCTTGATTGGCCAAACCCTTAAACCACCTTCCTGAACAGAATTAGTTGCAGAATCAACATTGTATGCAAATTTTAGTTTTTAATATTTGACAAAAAATACAAAAATGTCAAATATTGAATTTTCAAAACAAGCCAAACCCACCACAAAGAACATGTATGCTGTTACACAAGCTATAGAAGGCCTCACTTGTTTTTCCCACAAAATGGAGGGATGAGATTTAGCATACACGATCCCTGGCTTTATGTAGATCCTGCATCAGCCCTTTGTAAAATGAAAGAAATTAAAAACAATAGCTTTGTGTTCCAAAGTGTATTCTACCCCCAGCTGTACCCCTCGGCTACGGGACGCCCTGTTTGGGAATCGGTTGGAGGGAACTGAATGTTGTTTTGGAACTGTCTTTGAGTAAGGCTTTAATTGTTTCCAAATGCTCCATCTGATTGCTGTTGCCGTTCTCTGCGAGATGTGTTTGAAATGGGAGCTTTGTTCGGCTGGCACGGGCCTACAGGTTAATACACAGGGTCAGATCTGGAGAATAATACTGGCCGCAGAATAGTCCGTCATATTGCGCATGACTTATGGGAGGGGAAGGGGCTGTTTGGTTATTTTGTCAAACACTGGCAACTTGATTTATGCACACTTAATGAAACTGTCATAGGATGCTGTTGACCTTCAACAGAGTCTTAAAAACAAAGCGACTTGTGGCTAAGTTGAAATAGTATGAAATATAACGTACACAAGGTTTTTATTTATCTATACAAATGGAGGTGGTTTCTGCTCTAACCACAAGGATTGTAGTGATGTAGAGTTGTGTTAATGCTTGTTCTTTGGCTTGTTATCACCATAAATTGTAAAAAGAAGTGGACTAAGGGAGTGTGACGTCATCCATAGCAATGATTGTAAAAAACAAAACAAGCAGGCATGTTACAGTAAAATATTGTTTTTTTTCTTCCAGGTCCTGTGTTCCGAAGCCCGTGTGAGCTGCTCCCGGTGGGGCAGGGACACCCGGTACAGGCCTTGTCCAAAACCTTCACTGTCCTGGCCGGATGTGCGAGCAGAGGAACCAGCCTTCTACCCCAGGAGGTGCACGTGGTCAACCTCAGAGGACGCACACCAGAGGAACAGGACGGGACACTAGCACAGGTCAGTCACACTTTTATTCACTTACTCCCTGTTTATTTACACCAGCGTACACATAGGAATTGCCTTTAAACCAGTCAGACAATGTGCACAAGTAATCCTATACATGCATCCAGCTGGCGCACTTATGCCACACACCGACCAAATTAGTTAGAGTTCTAATTTTTCAGCGTCAACAGAGCAGCTCCAGGCATTTCAGAAAAGAAACATAGGAAAAAGGCTTTTGGTGTCCAAATAAATTCACAATGCCCTCTCAAAATAGGTTCTAAATCTAATCTTCTAAAAATGTTACAAAAACATCCATTGACTATAGAACCTTGGAGAATGGCTCATGAGGGCATGGGGAATATTTATTGTCAAAGAAATATAGTATACTTTACAACATCAAACATCAATTTTACAACTTAAGAAAGGAGAGTGTATGGTGTGCACTTGACAGAATTTTGACAGCCTGATTGACACAAGCACATTTTGTTATTGGTTTGCAAAGTATCGTCCCTCGTTTTAATGTTTGTATTGTTCATTGTTCAGTGTTCATTTGACCAACATGCATTTATAAAACAGTTAAAACTTACTTTCCCCATGTGTAAGAGAAAGTGGAGATAGTTGAAAATGGTATGTTTAAGGTCCTATATTACACAAAACTGACTCTTGTGAGCTTTAAGCTGTGTTATAATGCCATTACCTCCTAAAAAATGTAGTTGTGTTTTGTTTCATTCACACATGTTTCAGTAACCACTTATTATTAGTCTGTCTGTGTCTTCAAAGCTCAAAATACTCAGGTTAGCAGCTTTACTTTTACCTTTATCTGTGTAGAGAAATGCCAAATGATTTGAGTGGAGGTATATGGAGTTTAAAAACACAGTGGTTGAGAGAAGAGGAAGTCTAAATCTGCAGGGTTTGTGTTTTAAACATGTGTGAATGAAACAAAAAAACAACTCCGGGTGTGTTTTTGATGAGGAAACATTACAACTTAGATTAGAAAATAGCGCAATATGGGGCTTTTAATCATTATATTTTGACACGGCAAGCTTTTTAGAGTGCTTAAAGATGACATTTCTCTCCCACAGTACATAAGCTTTATTTCTCATGTCAATTCTGTGCGATTAGGTTATTACACACATGCTATATTATCATCCTTCCTCAAACTGAATCTCCCTATCTCTGTAAACTGTACACTCAGCACTAGTATTGATTTGTGAGCTGTCAGGCGGCACCACTCCCTTACAGCTCTCTCTCTACTTTCTCCATACTTTTCACATGATTCACGGCCCCCAAAATCTCAGAGTGGGGATTTTTACACCGTCCCACGACCTGCCCCTCAGTCACTCCAGTGTGAAGAGCTGCGTGCACAGACCTGTCATCACTCTGCTCTGCTGATGCTGCAGTGAGACCAGCAAAAAAACACTGATAAATGCTTAGTCGGCAGGTAAACAAAGGCGGTTTCCATAGAGACGCCGTACAACATCTCCAAGTTAATGAGGTTGTTGTTTTAGTTGGATTTTCATAAAGTAAAGATCAACTGAAGTCAAAGTGCATATGAGGTTAGACCTCTAATTTCACGAAAACATAGTTCACTTAATTATATTTAAGATTTAAGGCTAAAAATCTTGCTTTGGTTTTTTCTATTTTTTTTATTTTGGTTTATTAATTTTACTTCCTGGTTGAGCAACAGCAGCATTTTTATTAATCTAGCAGCCAACCAGTATTAACAAAGGACAAAGAACTACAATTAGACCAAAAAACAAACATTACATTACATTACATTAATGTTACAAATATAAATAATGTTGACACAATCCTAAAATTTCAGACTTCGATTCGATACTTAATACTGATTCTGATACCACAAATATTGAACAAAATCCGTGTATCATTTGTTCATTTGTTTTTCGAAAATAAAATCAAAAATAAGAAAATGAAAAAACAACTATTTTCTTCATTATTTGTCTTCAGAACCAAAATGAAAAAAACTTATAATCATTCTTTTTTTCTTCAGTTTTTCGATTTTGTGTTTAAATGAATAATGGAAAAATTGATAACATTTCTGTTTCAGTGACTTAAACTGTGATGCCGGACTTTTGCGTCACATATGGACTGAACCAGGACTGAACCAAGGACTGAACCAGGACTGAACCAGGACTAAACCAGGTCTAAACCAGGTCTAAACCAGGTCTAAACCAGGTCTGAACCACGACTGAACTAGGTGTAAACCAGGATTGAACCAGGTCTAAACCAGGACTAAACCAGGACTGAACCAGGATTAAAACAGGACTTAAACGAGACTAAACCAGGACTGAACCAGGACTGAGTCTCGGGACGGGCCCGGAGGTGCGCCGCATAGACTGTCGGGTGATCAGGACTGAGACGGGGACCAGACCGGGACCAGACTAGTCCTGGCGTGGTCCTGTTTTAGTCCTGAGATCAGTCCTGGTTCAATCTGTATGCGGCGCAAAAGTCCCGCATCACAGTTTAAGTCACAGAAATGGGAAACAGCTGTTATCTGTTTTTTCCATTATTCATTTAAACACAAAATGAAAAACTGAAAACGAATCGTTTCCAGTTTTTCATTTTGATTTTGGAGACAAATAGTGAAGAAAATTGTTGTTTTTTTCATTTTCTTATTTTTGGTTTTATTTTGTAAAACGAATGAACGAATGATACTCGGATTTAACAACACTGTGATTTAAAATTTTTAGTATCTCTGTAATCCCTCAGTCATCCAGGTTGGTTCAATAGTGATCCATGAACGTATACCAGTCTATGTGCTCTTATACTTGTTCTGATGCAGCTCAAGCTCATTCTAAAGCTATTCAGGAAAGTTTTTTTTTTTTTTTTTTGTAAACCCGCTCAAATGAGTATGTTCTTTTGATACTAGTTTTAGTGTCAATTGGAATTTTCTGTTTTGACGACATAGAGGTATTGTGTTTTAGAACTCACCGCCACTTCCTGTGTTTTTGTACTTTTCTTCTCAACTTTTTCCCCCAAACTGCCACTTAACTGAACTGATGTAAAACTATAATGAATATTTACCACAGGTACTATCCCACCAAACAAAGTGATAATTAGAAAAACATGAAAACCTGTAATGCGCACTTTAAGTTCAGGCCAGTATTATTTGTTTAGTTGGAGATATGGGACAGGATTTGTTGGTAATTCCAGTTGTGTAATGTTTAATAAAGACAGGCTTAGTGAGACTTTTAGGTGGTGGAGTGATGGTATTTGTTCTAATCCAAAGCACATCCTGACTGGAAATCATAGTGCATGTAGCTGCATTACAAGATTTGGCTGTTTAGTGTAGCAACAAAGTTCGATTCAAAATAAATATTAGCCTTGTGTCCCGAGATATGCTTCAGTTGTAAGTATGTCTCCCTCGTCTCCAAACATGTGCTGAACTTTGTAAAGCTGCACTATGTATAACTATGTTTTACTGGTGGAGGGTTTGCTATTTACACCTCACATTCACACTATGCAAGGCGAACGAAGTGTCTTGCATAAGGACACAGTGTCAGCTTTTACCACTAGTGCCCCACTGTAGCATCTGATATTCCCAGCAGTCTACCATCCAAATACTAACCTGGCTTAGCTTCTGAGATCTGACGAGTTCAAGCTTTGGCATGGCCACAAAGTTACCTTGAAACCAGGTGTCCCCAAAGCCCGGGCCAGGGACCGGTACTGGGCCATGGGTCGTTTGGTACCGGGCCACGAAAGCTCGAACCTGCCCTTCCATACACCGCACGAGCCATTCCTCCTCCCGTATGCCTTGCGTGCTGTGCCACTAAACCATAACTAAACCAGGTCTAAAAGAGGACTAAACCAGCTCTAATCCAGCTCTAAACCAGGACTAAACCAGGACTAAACCATAACTAAACCAGGTCTAAAAGAGGACTAAACCAGCTCTAATCCAGCTCTAAACCAGGACTAAAACAGGGTCTAAAAACAGGGTCTAAAATCAGGACTAAAACAGGTGTAAAACAGGATTTAGCCATGCCCCCCTCCCCCTTCCCAACCTTCTCCAGTCTGTGAAATATTGTCAGACATAAAACTGGTCTGTGGTGCAAAAAAGTTTGGGGACCACTGCTTTAAACCATACTAAAAATATCACAATGCTCACCTCTAGGGGAGTGCAAAAATACTGATATATATTATCATTTAATGTATAATATAGTATCGATATCATGAGCTGCTGTATCGTTTTATATCGCCAAGAGTATTTTTAGGTATATTTTACTAAATTTTATTACGGTGCTACAGTTTTGTTGCTTGTTTAGAGGAAGGAAACTAATTTATGAAACACATTTGACATTTTCACTGTTTTCATAAGTAAAATGGGTGTGTTTCATATGAACTTTACACAAGAAGTGGTTTAACAAAGACTTTTAGTATCACAGCCATGAGTTAGCCATTATTTTTATTGAACCATATCGAATCGATTTGAAATATTGTATTGAATTGGGAGTGCAATGTATTGAGGTATGTATCGTATCAGCAACTTCCTAACCTTCATCTTTAAAAACTAAATCTGTGACAATATATTGCTGTATTTTGAGTACAGCCCCAGTTGTCTTACTTCACATTTTTCATACCTTCTAAAATTTTCTATCCTATTACAGACAATATTTTAGTCTCTCCAGCAACTGCAAACTTTTAAAGATTTTCCATTTATAAGTGTGAAGTTACACACGTCTGTCTTCATAACTTTATTTGAAAATAAATTAGACAAAGACACCACATTTTGAATCTTCCCTCAGGCACACCTACTGTGGCATTTGTTAGAATCATTTTAAATCTTGATGGATTATCTAAAGTTATGGTTATTATTTGAACTCGAATTGATGAAAAGAGATAAAATTGCAAACTATATGGCTTTCAGATTGATTCATTCAGGATTGCATGTCCTGATAAAGACACACTATAGCACAAATCAACAGTCGACACTGCTCAGGACCTTGGGTTGAACTGTTATGGATATCCCTGTGAAGCGTACACTTTTGCTATCTGTA